AGGTCTTTTCCGAGCTGCCCTGCCTGAGGCTTGCACACTATTGCTCAGGCTGCCTCCCCAAGACAATGCATTTACCTTTCCTCTCTCTCTCTCTCTCTCTCTCTCTTGGAAGCCCAAGGCTTGTTGTGCTGCTGAAATCTCATGTTGCTGGTGGGTCAGAACCCTTTGCTTTAGCCAGAGGCTCCAGCCGTGGACAAGGGTGCGTGAGTGTCAGCAGCTGAGTGCTCAGGAATGCTCAGTGAGAAACATAACCCTATGTTTTCCAGGCACTAGCTTTTCTCATATCAAGCCCCCCCCATTTCTTTTACCTTTACAAATTCTTTTGCTATGTGACTCCGTTTTGCTCAAGAGTTGTGCCCATTTTCAACTTGTTGTTTAATCTTGTGTCTTTAGCGAGCTTTGTGAGCTCATACAGTTATATCCACACAGCAACACCTCTGATTTGCGAAAGCCAGTACATTCATGTGTTTATCACACTCCCCCTCTCACAACCTGTCTCTTGGCCTCCCTCTCAAGGGAATTCCTCAGCTCACAACACACTGGAGTGAGTGTTTCCTCCTGCTCTCGGGGGGGTCTGAGCCTGCTCCTGGCTTTCATCCACTGCCTGGTGGACGCTGGGGCAGGATAAAGGTGGTAAAAGCATAAAGGTGAGGGGAAGAGCTGGCTGTTCCCATACCTGATTCCAGTCGGGAGAGCTGTTGTCTCTGACTGAATATGAAGGCAGAATGTAAACCCTCTGGGGTTGCTGCAGCTCCTCTCACGTTTAGGAACTCTTGGGAAGCTTTCATTCAAGGCTTCTCTGGGCGCTGTTGGTGGTGTCTGTTTCCGGCAAGGACAGCAGAGGAGCAGGAGGTCTCAGTGATGAGGTTCAGTATCTGGGTCACTCACCATTGCCCCTGTGTGTTCTCTGGTGAGTTTTGATACTGGGAGAAGATGAGATAAAAGGAACATGTGCAGAAAGATGGAACCAGGGCTGAGCTGCCCCGGGCAGAGGCCACTTGCGAAAGGGATTTGGAGGTGAGCTCTGGGTCCTGTGTGAGGACACCAGGCGTGGGCAAACAAGGTGGCTGCCCTTTTCCTTTCCCTGTTGGGGTTTCTTGATACTAAAACCTGGGCAGAGCCTCCCCTCCTGTGCATCCTAAAGAGCAGGCTGATGCTTTGCTTGTCGTAGTGCTTGGTTCAGGGACTGAAGTCTTTTATGGTGTGTATTGGCTTTAGAACTTAGCCAAGTCCTGCTTTTTTCTAGCTATGGCTTTTCTTCATTTGGTTGAGCTTGCTGTATTGAATTTTCAGTGTGTGTTCTGGAAAGTGTTCTTCCAGGACTGAGCATTGGCTGTTCTACAAAACCTCATCTTCTGCCTGTCTGGAGACCACCAAAGGGAAGAGCAAGTGCTGCGGTGTGTCTTCAGGTGCCTGGTAACTCTGCCTTGGGCCATGTAAGCTCTCTGGTGCCCCAGTTCCTTTGTCTGTAACAAGAATCTGGGAGTCTTTCAGGGTGTTGCTGCTCAGTCAGCATCTCTAAGGAGTTTCATGGGCTTCACAGCAGTGTTTGGTCTCTTCTCACAAGGAACAAGTGACAGAACAAGAGGAAACAGCTTCAGGTTGCACCAGGGCAGGTTTAGACTGGAGATAAGGAGCAGTTTGTTCAGTGAAGGGGTTGTCAAGCCTGGAACAGGCTGCCCAAGGCAGTGGTGGAGTCACCATCCCTGCAGGGGTTGAAGAGATGTGTAGATGTGGCACCTGGGGATGGGGTTTAGAGATTCCAGTCAGGAGAGCTGTTGTCTCTGATTGAACATGAAGTCAGAATGTAAACCCTCTGGGGTTGCTGCAGCTCCTCTCATGTTTAGGAACGCTTGGGAAGCTTTCATTCAAGGCTTCTCTGGGCGCTGTTGGTGGTGTCTGACAGGCATCCCCTGTCATTGGGATCCTAACGTGTGGTCTCAGTTCTGGGAGGTGGTTCTGCCTGTTGGCACCAGTGCAGCTCTGAGCCCGGCCTCCTCTGCAGAGCTCAGGTAAGCCAGCACGCTGATACGGTTGGACTTTGTGTGGCTGTAGGACCACTTCCGCTCTGCCTCCTGATGCAATGCCAAGACCAATCAGTGCAGCCTGGACACAGCCAGCGTGGACCTAAGGCTGTGCGAGTGGGTGAGACCACGCTCTTCCTCACCTGTAGGTAGCAAAATGCCTGCTCCATGGTTTCTGGGCCACCAGCCCTGCTTGGAGGGAGCCTCGGGGGAGGATCCTGGCCTGAGGTGTGCTGGGAGAGGGCAGCCTTGTCTCTAAATCTGTAGCTGTTCTGGGAAGAGATCTGGCCCTAAGCAGATTTTAAACAGTTGCTGTTGCTGTATCGTGTCTCGGTCTTAAATGTGTGGCTGTGTTTCCTCCCCCTCCTCGACAGCCCTTTTTGGGTAGAGACGTGAGTATCTTTAGTGTCTGGTGTTTCACAGGTTGGTTTGAGCCCAGCCGGCAATGCAGGGAGATGGATGCAGGGATGAAGGAATTCCTGCAGGACTTCCTGCTTTGTGGCATCGCTTTTGTGGAGAATGAATGTTGCACCCAGCCAAGAGGCCACAGCAATGGTGGCAGAAAGGATCAGCTTGATGAGGTAACAGGGAATGGCACTGACAGCTTTGTCAGGAGCTGTGAAGGGCAGACTGCTCAGTTCTTTGGGAAGGTGCTGCTGCCTTGTCCTGTGTGTCGTGCACTGGGGTCTGGTTTGCAAAGCAAAGGTCTGGGTCTTCCACAGCCTCTTGTTAGAGAATAGTAAAGTTTTTCTTTGTAACTTTGTTTATTTCTCTGTAACTTTGTGTGGTTGTTCTATCATAAAACTCCCCTCTTTTGATGTTAAGGAAGGGTGGAGTTTTGTGATGGGATAAACATATAGTAATAATAATAGAAGAAAGCATAGTAGAAATAGTTATATTTTCTATTGTAAAGGTTTATGAATTAATAGAAGGCCTTTATATGCGGCTGGAGCTTTGCTGTTCTAAATTTTAGCTGTTCTGCAGATTTAGCAATAACTGTGCCTGTGCCATCCTGTAACTCTGTACCATCCTGTAACTGTAGTTTTTAGCAACAGAAACTAACCTAACCATACATGGTTACAGGGAGTGTGGGAAGGAATGTACTGTGGAGCTATACCCAGGTAGAACCTAGACTTAAGAAAGTCAAAAAGCATACCAGAAACTGATAAGAAAGTGCTAGCATCCACAGAAGAGTTGGGATATGTCCCAGTAAGGGAAAGGTGAAGAGGACGACCTGAGGAAGACTTCTTACTTCATCCGAGGAAGACTCCTTACTTCATCAGGACGACCACCAGAGGGGGCTGCGCAAGTGCAGAGGAGCCTGATGTCCTAATAGATTGATGTGGTAATCCTTAATGCATATGTATTAGTTAATGATGTAATCTGTATTGAATAGTGTATAAATTGTGGACACGATGTGACGAGGTTGAAACCAGATTTGGGTGCGTACCCCTGGTTTCCCAGCGCTGCAATAAAGCACCTCATATAACCAGTCCGGTGGTTATGTGTCTGTTCCTATGCTAACACTCTGGCCACTGGGCTTGAACTGAGCTGGTTCTGGGTGGGATCTGCCCCTTCCTGCGTGAGAGTCTGGATCATGAGGCTGTGGAGCTGCCCCGGGAGAGTGTGGTGACTGTTGTGACAGTGCAGACAGGAGGAACTGGGAAGAGCAGAGCTTTGCAAAGAGAGGCATTTCTGGTTATGGCTTGGAAGGTTAGGAGGGCAGCCCTGGCCCTGGGAGCCAGGTAGATCAGAACCAGTTTGTTTCTGCTGTGTTTCAAACAGCCCAACAGCGTGGCAGGATAGGCTTTGTGTTTCAAGTCTTGTCCAAGCTGCAGGAACACTTTAACGTGCCTTATGCCACTGAGAGAGGAGGGATTGCTTCTAATGAGTAGAAACAAATAGAAAGGAGGGGTTCCAAGGAATATCCAGGCAGCTTTTTGCTCCAGGTACCCTTAGCCCCTGAGCACTCTTGCCCCTCTGTCTGTCTCCTTCTGTGCATGTTGTAGGGGGGAAGGTGGCTGAAAACGCAAGATCCTGAGAAGGGAAGTGGGCTTGGTGGTGGGTGGGTGCAGGCAGGTGCTGGTCGTGCCGCTCAGGGGCTTCCTTGGTTTGACAGTTGCCATGAGTGCCAGAACTGTAGAACTCATCAGCTTTTTGTACCTTTCACTTGGAAGGATTCCCGTCAGGTAGGGAACCTTCCATCTGCAGCCAGCTGAAGTGCATCAAGCAAAGGCAACCTGGGCTTCATTAGGAGGGCTAACCATGAATGCTTGTAGCTCTGCAAAGCCAGAGTTGTGCAGGAAGAACATGGATTTCTGGCTTTCCTGAGCCCCCGTCTCTGCCAGAAATCCTTTCTTGCCAGCCTCTTCCAGTCTTGCTTCCAAAATGCTTGAGTCTTTGACCTGTTTCTAAGTGAAATGAGGTGTTTTTCAAGAAAGATGTGTTCATTTCAATGTCTGCTTCCTGCCCGCTGCTTTGGCTGAAACCTGACAAGTCTCAGGTTAAGTTACTGCCAAGGGTAAAGGATGGAAAACCCCCAGGCTGTGGGAAAGACTGCAACATTATCCAGCTCCTGAGGTACCAAAGCCCCTGCCCAGAAAAGTGGCTTCCTCTGAGTCCTGAGCTGCAGGAGGAGGTTGTTGCCTTGGAGGCAGAGAGTGGCCTTTGCTCCAGTGCTCCTGCACTGCCTTTGTAAGGGTGAATGGAGCACCCAGGTGAAAAGGTGCTGGTGACTGTGGAGGTGGGAGGTGCTGCTCCGTCCCCTGCTGTGGGACTGGGTTCAGAGGCCCTGAAGGGAGAGCAGAAGATCAAGGCTTTCCCAGAGGGTAACAGTTCATTCTCTAACAGGGAAGGGGGCTGGAGGCAGCTCCTGGGTGTTTGCTTCTAACAGCGCAATGCCGCCTTGCTTGGACAGAGGGAAAGAGAAGCTTCCGAGCAGTAATGGTAGGACAGGAGCTGAGTTGGATGGTTTCCCACTAGGGAGGGATGTGCCTGTGGGCAAGATGCTCGCTGGAGACTCCTCCAGGCTTTCCAAAGGGCCTTTAATGTGTTGCCTTGTTAGGAGACCATAATGTATGTGCCTTTGAATGAGAGTCACCCTGGACACCCTTGTACTTCCCGACAACTTCAACAGTACAACCAGCATTTCTTTACTGTCCTCCTGTTCTGAGATGGTGGAGATTAGGCCTGAAGAGGTGGCAGGCAGAGCTGTTAACTGCTGGTCTGTCTCCGTTCCCTGGCAGGCCTCAGTGAAACCAGAAGGGTGGTTGCATGCACCTGCACCTGATGGGGAGCACCTTCTGGCCCCGGGACAGGCAGCCCAAGTGTCTTCATGCTCTGGTTTCTCTTGCCCATGCAGCATCCAAGTGTTCCAGTGCCTGAAGCACAAGGGCACGAGCGGGTGGATGCTGCTGGTGGATGGTTTCTGTGCGGCAGAGCAGGTTCTCCAGCGCTCCCCAGACCAATTGGAGATGCTCCCCAAGGTCCCGCTGGAGCAGGAGGATGTCAAGAATGTGGGAGACTGTCACAACCCCGTGATTGGAATTGGGCCAGTTCTCAGTGTCTGCCCCTGAAGAAGGAGCTTTATCTCCTCAGGTAACACCCATGTGAGGCCTCTTGCCAATGGGGAGGAGAGGGGATTGTGGCAGAGAGTGGAGGATTTTCAGGAGATACCCTAAACTAAAATGGCACCTTCTAGTGGAAGGTGTCCCTGCCTGGGACAGGGCTTGGAACTGGATGACCTTTAAGGTCCTTTCCAATCCAAACCAGGCTGTGGTTCTATGAAAAAACAATCTCTATTTGAGGGGCAGCAGTGAAGCCACAGGAACAGCCCAGGTTTCTTCCTGGGCTGTGCACTGCTGCTTTAGAGGAGGTGTCAGAGGCACCCATACAAGGATGGGTGTCAGTGCTGAGCTCTGGCTTTTCACTCCTCTCTTCCTCACTTCACCTCCATGCCTCCATCTCCATTCGTTTGAGAGGCAGTAGGATTCAGCCCTTCCAAAGGAAATTTGGGCTGCTTTCTGCAGCTCCAGCCTGGCTTAGTGCAGGAGCCTGTCCAGCACTGCTTTGCACTTTAATTCTGACAGCCTGTGGCCTCACCCTTTGCTGTGGCACATCCTTCCATGGGACACCAGCACGAACACTTTTGCACTTGGTAGCATACTCCTTGCTCCCAGTGCTGGGTATTCTCCTGACAGTCCTGCACTTGCAGTGTAACCTCTCCTGTCCTCTCTCTGGCTTCCCTTAAACACTGCCTCATCCCCCAGGCTCCTGCGGTTCCCTGTGGGAATACCTGGCTGTGCCCCTGGAGCCACGGGGGCAGTCTCTGACCTCTTCTTTGCTTGTAGATACAACAGCTACGCTCGTGCTCTCATCAACACGGCGCCCTACGACGTTGTGCACCGCTGGGACGCTGCTCACCGCACCCTCACCACTGAGCTCCAGAGACCAGAGAATGAACCCTGGGTCAAACTGAAGCCAGGCAAGGTAGGGCTTGGAGCTGGGAGACTCGCCTGGGTTTTGTGCAGGGAGGGAAGCATGGTCCTTTGGATGTGCTTGCTGCCACTGAGGTGGCTGCTTCAGGCAAGCTCCACATACTGCAGCTTTCTTCGCAGGTCTTCTAAGGTGGCCTGTATTACAGTACTGGCATCTGTTGTGAGGGGGATGTGTTCCTCCTCTTGTAAAAGAATATGAGCTTCCAGGTAAGGCAGAAATGTGTAGCTCAAACCCTGCCTCAGAGGAAGGTTAGGCCCAGCTAGAGGAGAGGAGAAAGATCTTCTCAGTGGCTGCAGTGAGGATCCTCAGAAGCAGAGGGGCTGGGAACACCTAGTGTTCGACCTCTAACTTCCTCCAGAAGAAACTTCAAGTGTGTTGGAAATCCAAAGGTGTAGGAAGCCGAATTTACTTCTGCTCTGAGGTTATCTTTGAACCCTCAGTGGAAGGAAAAAGCTCTGCCCTGTGCTCTGAAAGGCTGATGCTGGGTTCAGCATTGGAGGAGCTTGAAGAGCTGGAGCCACAGTTGTAGACCTGAAGGTGTTGCAGTGCATAGCTTCTTCCTTCAGCTGTGTCTGCGTGAAGGGGCTTTATTCCTTCAGGGGCTAGATGCAGCCTGCGCCCAGGGCCCCAGAAACGAAAGGGTCAAGGGGGGAAAAAGGATGATCTTAGAGCCCCCCAACCCTTGTGTTCCTGAGGATGCTGGGGGCAAGTGAAACTCTAGAGGCAGGAGATGGCCCCTCACGGCTCCTCTCTTGGGAGCCCAAGGGGCACAGAGTGTGCAGCTGCAGGTGAGCTCAAGGGGTGCAATAAGACTCCCAAAATAGTGTTCAACGCACACGCCAAGGGCTGGCTCCTGCATCCGTCACCACTCATAACTCCCTTCTGAGATAAGAGGTGCTTGACCTGAGTGACGATGGAATAGTCGACTGGAAGCCACGCACATTTTACTCCATCCTTCAAGCTATAATTGCCCCTGGCAGTGCTTACACCCGGGTTAGCCTGCCCTCGGGCTCCACCAGCATGCATCACCCATCACCAGAGCTGGAGCCTCTGGGCCGCTCACCAGCACGCAGGCTGCTCTCTCCGTCTTTCCAGCCAAGACAGTTTTTACCTCGACTCTAAAGAGCAAAGTGGAGACAAAAGAAATGGGTAACTCCTGCTTCTTTGTTAATACTCCTGCTTCCCTTCTCTTACATCTCCTTCTCGACAGGCTGGAGAAATAGGCTGACAAGAACTGCAAAGGTTTAACAAGAGCAAGTGCAAGGAGCTGCACCTGGGAATGAAAAGCTCCATGAACCAGGAAATGTTGGGGAATAACTGTTTGGAAAGCAGCTCTGCAGAATAGGATGCGAGGGTCCTGGCGGACACAAAATTGAAAGGAAGATGGCAATATGCCCTTGCTACCAAGAAGTTAAATGGTCTACTGGGTTGAATACACCAAACCCAGTGCCCTCACAAGAGGAAGACCAGCAGCTCCAAGAACTCCTCTGCACCCGCAAAGACATCACACCACCAGTAATGCTCGAAGGCAACACCAGAAGTGGCCAAATGAGCCGGGCCAGCAGCAGGGCCACTCGCTGACCCTGCGGGACCAGGAGGCTCCGTTTTTCACCCAGAAACCTTCCTCTCTCTGTTATTAAACACTTGAACATCCCAGAAAGCGTCTGGCGCTGCTGTCCAAGCTTCCAGCTGAGGATGAAGCAGTGGCAAATACAATGGAGAGCCCATGGCGACAGCCCCCAGCCACGCCCTGTGACGACCCCAGCCACGCCCTGCAACGTCCCCCAGCCACGCCCTGTGACGTCATTCCCCCCCCCCCCATTGTGACCTTGCTGCTCGCCCTGCTCATATTCCACCCAGGTACTCCCATAGGGCAGTTGCTGTGGGAGACGGCTCTGAGGAGCTCTCAGAGGAGCACGTGCAGCAGCATCACTCAGCGCCCCAGAGGAAGGTCTTTCTGGACTGCCGGTGCCAGCAGCACCCGTGGTGCACCAACCCTGTGCTATGGATGCACAGTGTGTGGGGGGCTTCCCAGCCTCTGCCTGGGTGTTCCTTTTCCGCAAGTACCCTCAGCTGCTGCTCTTGCTGCAGGCCTGGGTCTTTCAGGAGATGAAGCGGTTCTTTGGCGGGCGCAGCTTGAAGGCATACCTGATGACACGCATGATCCTGGACGCGCTGCCCGCCTACGGCCTGGATGAAGGTTTCCTGGATGCGGTGCTGCGCCCCGACCTGCGGAGCCACACGTCGAGGTTCGTGCGAAGGCTCCTGGAGGCCACAGAGGAGTGCGCGGAAGAAGTGCTGAAACTCATGATCCGCGAGGACTCCTGTGCTGGCAGCGGCTTGGGGAAGAGCCCCAGAGCCAGCGAGTGCTGGTCTGAGTTCAGCTGGTGGCAGGAGGGCAGCCCTGTGGCCAGCACCAGCTGGAGGGCGTGCCATGTGCGACGCAAGGGCAAGCTCGTGGTGAGGATCACCTCCTCCGGCAGCCAGCACAGAGGTGAGTGGACCGTCACCACCAGCGTGACCCACTCTGACCGCCCCGAGCCCAGCCCCAGCCCCACTGCCTGCACGCTGGGGACCCCTGTGCCCAGAGCAGCCCCCTCCGGCAGCGCTGCTGCAGCGGACGCAGACGCGCTCCCGAGCACCTCGACCGCTGCCGTGCAGGGGGGTCCTGCCTGCGTCCCCGCTCCCATCCCAGCGGAGCAGGAAGAGGCACAGCAGGAGCCAGGGCAGGCTGTGCCCGGGGCCTCTGCTCCCCGCTGGGGAAGGGCCGGCTCCAAGCGGAAGAGCAGCAGCTCTGAAGACTCCGCTGCACCCCCCAAGAAGCGGCCCCGCCACTGATGATCCAAGGCGACACCAGCAGTGGCCAAAGGAGCCGGGCCAGCAGCAGGGCCACTCGCTGACCCTGCGGGACCAGGAGGCTCCATTTTTCACCCACAAACCTTCCTCTCTCTCTTATTAAACACTCAAACATCCCAGAAAGCGCCTGGTGCTGTTGTCCAAGTTTCCAGCTGAGGATGAAGCATCATCCTACCCTACAGCCCCCCCTTCACACACACTTCATCCTTCCTGAGGGTGCTTCAACACAGGGCCTTTGCTTGGAAGGTGTCTCTTGGTACCTCAGTTCCAGACACAGCAGCTGGAACAACTTTTGTGTCCTTTCAGAGAGGAAAAAAGAAAATGAAATGAAGCTGCTCCTCTCACAGGGGAGAGGAAGCTGTGACTTGTGCAGTTGCAATCCTGCCCCAGGAAGGTTTTCTCTTTCTCTGTGACTTTCCCCACCTGCAGTCGATTTAATCAGTTCTGGCTGTCCCAAGGACTTGTAGCAGTGGTGTGATGCTGTTTCTCTGCAGTTTGCAGAAGGGGAGAGCTCTGTCTGGACACTGTCCTCAAGGAAGCCATGCCATTAGAGTATCTTCTATGTAGGCCAAGTCAGAGTCCCACAGGATCAGGGCTTTTTGGGAACAAATGGTGCACAGGGGATTAACAGACTGCCCCTATGTCAGGCGGTGCTGTTCAACCTGCCTGGGCTCAGGAAGCATCGCTGCCACCAGCGCACAGAGCCTGGGCAGGGTGTGGGTGCCCAAGAGCCAGCAGTTTCGGGCTTCCTTCCCTCCTCCTGCACAGCCCGCTCTCAAGCCCCCAGTGGCAGGCATTATGCCCCCCCCATGTCTGGGGAGGACTTTCAGACGTGTCCCCATGTCCCCTCAGCTCCCCGCTGCCGTTCTAACCAGCAAGTGTCGAACAAAAGCCTCCAGAACCCGAGCACAGCTTTGGCAGAGCCAAGCTACCCAACCGAAAAGCTGCCCCCCATGGCTTCCCTCTGCCCAGGCACGCTTCCTGCCTAGGGTTTCATTGTCCCTGGGGCACTGCTCAGTGCACCTCTGACACAGCTGGCCTCCAGGTACAGGGCCCTGGCTCTACAAGCCCCTGGGTGCTGCCCTGGCAGCTCTGTTGCCCTGGGTGCCCAGCACTGTGCTTCCTTCTCCTCTTCCATCCTCTCCTCTCCACCCTCCCCAGCAGAGCTGTGCAGCCATGGCAGGGCACACTGCCAGAGACCAGAAGGTGCAGGGACCACCAAGAGCAGGGCTGCAGCCGAGCTGCTCTAGCAAAGCCCTGGGAGAGGGCTGCCCTTCAGTAGGACTGAAACTCCTCTGTCCTGCAGTGTTCTTGCCCTGCCCCACCAGAGCTCATCCCCCGCTGAGTGTGTATTTCACAGCCACCAAGGAAAGACCCTCAGTGTCAGACACCGTGCTTTGCACACAGGTCTTTACTGATCAGATGGAAGCACTGCTGGTAACAGCCTGGCTGCCCGGCGCTGCTGCTTGGGATCCTGGAGGAGGCTTTTGCTGGACATCAATCTTGGGATGTAAAAGTTGTGACTGGGCTGGGCCAGCCCTGGTGGCAGATCCTCTGGTGTTGAGCAACCAGGTGGCCTGTGGTAAGTGAGTATCCCAATGCTTGAAGGTTCCCCCACCCATTGCTCTCAGTGTAGTTTTTAACAGCCCATTGTACCTTTCGATTTTCCCAGAGGCTGGTGCATGGCAGGGGATGTGATATACCCACTCAATGCCGTGCTCTTTGGCCCAAGTGTCTGTAAGGTTATTCAGAAATGAGTCCCATTGTCTGACTCAGCTCTCCCTGGGGTGCCGTGTCCCCACAGGATCTGTTTCTCAAGGCCCAGGACAGTGTTCCGGGCAGTGGCGTGGGGCACAGCGTACGTTTCCAGCCATGTGGTGGTTGCTCCCACCATGGTAAGCTCATGGCGCTTGCCTCGGCGGGTTGGAGGCAGTGTGATATAGTCAATCTGCCAGGCCTCCCCATATTTATCCTTCAGCCATCATCCTCCATACCAAAGAGGCTTTAACCGTTTGGCTTGTTTAATTGCAGCACATGTTTCACACCCATGAATAACCTGGGCAATAGTGTCCATTGTTAAGTCCACCCCTCAATCACGAGCCCATCTCTTTGTTGCATCTCTGCCCTGATGGCCTGAAGTGTCATGGGCCCACCGGGCCAAAAATAATTCCCCTTTATGTTGCCAATCTAAGTCCATCTGAGCCACTTCAATCTCAGCAGCTTTATGCACTTGTTGGTAGTTCTGGTGTTCCTCAGTGGCCCGACTCTTGGGTGCATGGGCAACTACATTGTATACCTTCACCACCAGGCTCTGCATCGGGGCAGTGATATCTTGACACAGTGCAGCATCCCAGGTGGGTTTGCCTCTGTGTTGCCAGTTGCTCTGCTTCCATTGCTGCAACCACCACAATAGGGCATTTGCCACCCTCCATGAGTCAGTATAAAGTACTAGCCGCTTCTTTCCAACCTGAGCATCCCTGGTTCACTTGGAACCCCTCACCCCTTGTCCCATCGCTGAAGGTCCCTCCATGTCCTCCTTATGTTGAGGATGCAGCATTAGCAAAGAGGATGCAGCCC